CTGCGTTAACTTTATCAACACAACTACTGGCCGTGTCCTTAGAAAATGAATACCGAGAGCAGTATAAATGTGAGCAGTGTACAATACTTACGATTGAGATTGTTAGTGCGTGTGGCTTTTCGCACACACAGGTAACGTTTTACACATATGCAGTTTGTCAGAAGGGTCCCGACGACCGAGCTAGCAGCCATTATCCACATATATAACTTTCATACAAGGTCATTTAAAACAAAATCTTTCAGGATTACGTCGAAGAAGAAGATGGGTGCACCAGCGTTGGTGCTCGCGTTGGGGGGACTTGGCCTTCGTTGTGACGGGTGTTTCCCACGTATGGACTTACTTATCTGGATTATTTTTCAATCCTTGATTTTCTGTCTTATCAACTCTCTGTCCATCCTCTCCTTAATTTCCCTCCTCAATTTTCGAATTTGCACTCTTTCTCGCGGTTCATCATTCAGCTGAAAAAAAAATACTGTTTTGTGTGAATTCCTCAGGACTATTTTTCGTCCTAGTAGAGGTGCTGCCTAGGCGTCATTCTTCAAGACTATTTAAATAGCCTTGGGAATAAGCTTTTATGACGATTTAGTTCTGCTTTGCCAAGTCGCGAAGCCTAGTGATCTCCCCACCTGACAAGACGCTCTCGAAGTGATCTCGAAGAAGATCCAGGTTATCTGTCCACCGTTCCTTTGGTGTGTTTGATGTGAAATCAGGAACACCTTTTACCACGATATTGTGCTTCCGGTTTATGAGGAATTTTGTAGTTCCATGTCTGCGCAATTGCGGTTTGTTACCTCGACAATGTTGCTAATAAGAAGTTTTTTTATTAACATTAGGATATCTTTCTTCAAAGCAAGGGCTTGTGAAGACCACATTTGTATGTGATGTACCGACTTTGTACTGGCTTCCTTTTCACGTTTTGCTCTGTTTTAATGACTTAAACGCAGCATTAGCATACCCATTACCAGAATATTCGAGCTGATTTTACTAGGAAGCGGAGTTACACAATTACCTCCTATAATTAGTGAGTAGGCTTGTTCATGGTCTTCGGCAGATCTTTTAGTGGATCCGTTGATTAAGTCACTTTAAGTCAGTCATTTTGTTGAGGGATGAGGGTTTTCTCCCTTAGGCTCCTTAGTTCGATCGAAAATCGCAATATTTAAACCTTAACAATAGTACATAATACAAATGTAGAGTTCACATCAGCGATATGGGTGAGCCAGTTGTAAACTGCCGCTACTGACACCATGTTCATTACGTATATCATACCTTCTCAGCAAGTCAGAATTTTGTTTGCATTTAAATGTCCCAACAGTATCTGAAAGGACCACCTCGTCAGAGAGTCTGTTCCACGCTCCAATGACCCTCTGCGAGAAGGCTATTGGAGTATGGAATAGACTCCCTGACGAGGTGGTGGTTTCGCATACTGTTGAGATATTTAACGCAAGCTGGATTCTCAATTGGTGATTAGGTTAGGTTAATATCAAGGTGAGTTGGGTTGCTAGGTGTCCGGTTCGTGGCTTGTAAAGATAATAAAGTCAAAACAGCCTCCTTGGCAACAATTCTTCTTCCGTCATGTGAGACACAACTCCCTGGAGCTCCTCTTGGTGAAATAATTCCTTTCTCTTTCTTAGGCCACTTTGGGTTTCTGACCTCCTTATTTCTCTTAGCGAAAAATATGCAAATTGCCGGTTAGGTAATTTCTTCTTCTACACAGGGTTCGATTTTGCCGTTTAAGAAGGACGGCAATTATATCCCCCAGCACAGTGACCCATTTATTAAGTTCGTCACAACCCACGCGCCAACATTTTTAGGTGCCTGGCGCCAGACTAGTTTACTATTTTTGAATCCTGGAACCCACTAGATCTATTAATTTTAGCGTCAAAAGATCCTGTCGCTATCTTTTCACACGAGACTGTAAACGGATGATAAATCAATCCCGACTGCTCTTCCATAGATAGCAACTAAATTTGCTTAACATGATTCAATTCGATTCCAGCCGGTGGAAAAAAAATTTCCCTCTTTCAAAATTGGATGGCACATAAATGAATTTCGCATGCTTCTAGTGAATATATGTGAATACAATTAGGTAAAATCCTGTGCTGAAACCGATAGTACTGGAAGGATAGTTGAGAAAATTCAGAACAACGCAAATGAAGACGATAACTTTGGGAGGATAGTGCAGCGAATAAATATGATAATAAGAATGACTCAACCTTTGTAGGTTTTCTAGTTGTATCGTTCGGTAGTCGAATAGTCTTCTCGGGTTAGTAAAAGTCAGAAGTCAGCTTGGTCCTGTTGGAGCTTTCTTCGAAAATAAATTAAACAGACGAAGTTATTTCTTAATTTTGACAGGTTTTGAAAGCGACTAAATGGCCGTAATCTCGAAGAAATATAAATTACCTGTGTCGAAAATTGACGTCGAATTCTACATTCGATGTATTTGGGCTCTACTGAGTGCCTGTAGCATGCAAAAAACTAGTTGTACAAAACCTTTTCGAAGTTTCTGACTCCACAGCGGTAAGCGAGAGTTCTTTTTCCTCTAACCTCGGTCTGGAAATTTGAATAATTGTTTTAACTTTTATTATTTTTGGCGGCTACACCGGTTGGAACGTATAGGGTTTTTTGTGACGCTGCTTAGTTCTCGTGGATGAAATGGAGGAGATTATTAAACATGTAGCTAGTAGCATTCCAGTTCTAGAGAATAGCAAGCATAAAGGAAACATGGGTCGCATTGGGGTCCTTGGAGGTTCCAAAGAGTAAGCTTTTTTGGCATTTCTAAACCTAAAGGTACTCCGGTGCACCCTATTTTGCCGGCATCACCGCGCTTTATTGCGTAAGATTTGATGAAATGATGATTCCTTTTAAGGGAGCTGATCTTGTGCATGTGTTTTCAGCAGCATCTGCTGCTCAATCGATCAAATGTTACAGTCCAGAGTTAATTGTGCATCCTACTCTGTACGTTGCTGCAATTGTCTTCTTATTTTAGGGATAATGATGTGGAAAAGCCAACTAAGTGGTTAGAAAGGCTTCATGGCCTTGTTATCGGGCCCGGCCTTGGCATGTCAGAAAACATACCGAATACGGTTGAGGTACGTGGGTAGCTTCAAATAATTAGCTTGTTAGATGATGAAAGCCTGCAGAGCAGCGAATAAACCGATGGTCATAGATGCAGACGGAATATACATTGTGGCAAAATACACAGACGTCATATCTGGTTACCGAAAGGCTATTATAACAC